CATTGCCTTTAGTATGAGATAAATTTTTGCACACCCATGTTTCTTTTTCTTTCCCACAAGCAGATTCACAATGGGACCGCTGCGTAATGGTTTGTTTGACAGTTCACCTCAAATTTATGGCTCCAATTGGGATTGTACCTAGAAGTGTTGGCAGTACATGTTACTTGTATCTAAACATGCATGCTGTCCGACTAATAACACCCACTCACCTCACAATGAAGAGGACCGAAACCGACCTCATATGAAGCGCCAACCTTGAAGACATCCTGAGCAGTTTAGTGATGAGACCTTACACTTCATGGGCAGCAAAATGAGAACAGTTTCTGGACTGAGTTACAACTTAAGTTTAATTTGTTCCTGTGAATTTGTTTTCAGCGACACAGAATCAAACAGTCACTGCATGCTACATGATACCGTGTGACACCGGTTCCAGGCTTTGTCATTAGTCCATACTATGATTCAAATCTGGTTTTAAATGCCCTCTGTAGACAGCAAAAACTTATTGATTATTCCTATTTTTCAGCCTCACTTATGCTCGGCATTTGATATTCTACGTACTTTTACCGATTATGCAACTCATTAACTAAAGTGTAGAGGCGTAATCACGGTCGCCTGGTTGACGCTCGTACCGGGTGATAATGCCTGTGTTATTAATCACCAGTGTTACATAGCGAAAGGACTAGTATCGGATATTTTTAACCAGCAACATGTGAATAACTGCATCCTGGCAGACTATGTATTGTGTGGCTGTATATTCTTTCTAACTTCTCTCAGCCTCGCTGGCAACAATAAGATTCAGACATTACCTGTGAAAACAGCATGCTTTCGTATAATTTATTATTTGAAGTACATTATTATTATCCCTTTGGCAATCCGGGCAGCCTTGCTAGGTTCAAACAATGTTCGGACGTTCCATGTCCACGCTCTCGCTAGCGTCGAGAGGAATCACACCGGCCAGTTGGCTTCCTAAAGGCTTTCACCAACTGGTGTCACATCGCCTTCCCGATTCCAGCGAGGAATAAGCTTAATTTTGTTTCATATTCTCTTTGTGCCTTGAAGTTTCCTCAGTGGTCTGATTGCTTTTCAGGGGTAGGGTTGCCAGCCCTATGCCCAACCTCCCCTCTTTATCCGGGCTGATGACGGGCTAGTAACTGGTGAACTGGTTACCTAGGCGAGGTTGGTTTCCACATACGACGCCCCAACATTGTGCCATGTAACCGAAAATGTCAGTTCTGTTTTTAGCTGCTTCCTCAGTTGTTTCTCATGAGTTGCGCCGCCTATGATAAATACAAAGCCATGCTGAAGCGTCACGATATGCAGGTGGTTAAGTCTATGGAGGCCTAAGTGGTCCTTCGAGAAGGACACAAGTACCACGTGATCTGCAAGTGTGACTGCAGACGCTTATGCTGTGCCAGTGCAGTTGTGCAGATGCCCCGTAGTTCTTTGTTCTCTGTGCATAGATTTCTGCCCTGTGATTTACGTAAGTCCCCTGAGATGTCAACTCATTTCTTCGTGGATGTATCCTGAAAGTCTACCGGATGGTTGCGAGACCACCACCACACATGTATTTAACCAGTGGACTTCGGACATTGAAAAAATGTGGAAGCCGACTCGTGCAGGGGTGTGTGAAATGCAGTTACTGGCTCAGATAAACTCGGAAAGATGACGTTAACTGTTGTTAGAGATTTGAACCAGGGTTTGTAAGGGGCACCACACACGGGACTAAGTTTCAGCATCCATTCAAACTGCCGAATACCTACTAACTATACATCGTTTCAGTCCTTAAGCAAATTTTTAATGCATTTTTTCGTGTCTTTCTTTTGCTTTTTTATTGGAGCAGAAAGTTGGTGAGTTATCATGAGAGGAGTAGGAGTTTAGGGATTTGTGTTACTGCACTATGACCAACGGTAATAGGCATTTAAGGTATTTCACAGCTAGATTGTTAGGACACGACTGCAAACAGGACTGCAGCTCCACATGCAGAACACCAAGTCTAGAAACACTTTGGATGAGATGACTCAAATTAACCTGACACTCTTCTTTAATGTGCTACATAAACACGCGTTTACAGCCAGTGGTGAGTTTCAATTAGAACACAACAGTTGTTACGATCTGCGCAACCACGTCCATAGCGTCAAAATCAAGTCTTTCAGGTCCTGCTTGCGCGTGAACTTCTTTGCCGTCTAATTCTCTCAGTGGTGGAACACACTTCCAGCTGAAGTAAAGGCCTCCAAATCAACCTCTGAATTTGGTCGGTTACTGGCTGACTTCTTATCTGGTGACTTCTACGGCCTATCGAATACACCAACAGTTTCTTTCACGACACTTCGTATACTCAGCCCTCTTAATGTATAATGAGAGCCACCACACCTACACTGACCTTTCATACGAAGCGTTGAGGAGACTTCCATAAGTTACCACCTCAAACTAACGGCATATTGTGCCCCACCCAACACAGTAATCAAAAACAGAAATCCTACACCACATGACAGCATGAAATGTATATTTTTAAATACTCTATAGAATAAGGATGTACAATGAAAGCCATGGCAAGGGAAGTTAAGTGGGGAGAAACATGAACATACGAGACACTCCTTGTTGAAATTCTTGCTTTATCCGCCTGCTGCTTTGTCTGTTTTTTCTCGTTGTAGAAAAATAATCCAGTTCTAAACGTTGTCTTTGTTGCCATCGAGAGTTAACTACTTAAGGAACAGACCATGGCTGAAACTACGCTTCATGGAGGACAACCAGTTTTACCACGTTCAGAATACCTAACTACAACAAGCAAAAATAAAAATGTTCACTGGACTACAACTTCATAATTATCAAAATCTAGGATTTACTCGTCATAAAAGTGACCAGTAAAGTCCAACACTTACCAACTGCAAGGCTGTCACGACCCGCGAAAACAGCGGACAAGATGTTCTGGAAGCCCGTTTGGTCCATTCAAACAAGTCTATTGCTTCTGGATGCTAGAGTTGGAAAAGTGAAGACATTTGGCTTTCAGTCATAATATTCATGAAGATTATGAATATTTGTTGTGGGATGGTGTTAACAAGGATGAATTGTACAGTCCTGGAATCGTCAATGAAGTACAATACGTAAACATCATCATCTCAAGCAAAAGGCACAAACTGTTACAGTGGAAGTATTAGCTTCAAGCTTTATTTTTCTCCAGATAATACCTGTAGTTTCTAGATACAAACCTGGTTTTTTTGTTAATGTGAAGACAATACTTCCACTTGTCCAACTTGTAAATTTTCTGCACACTTATTCTGCTGGGATGTTCCATTAAATGAACATGCAGCGCTTACATCTTCTAGTGATAACGGGTAGGGATTCAGATTACCTTCCATGAAGATGAATGTACTTTGTATATAAACTTATTCATACCTGTAAAAATGGTGTGTGCCTGGATATCCAGGAATAAATATTATCATTATTATTAACTACCAACTTTCTCGGCATGCTGTGTCAAATGGGGTCTGATCAATCAAGCAGTACCACCAGCCCCTACACAGCAGACATGCATTCCGTGCTGACTACAAAGTCACTCCTAAAACTGACGTTATAAAATTTAACAAGCAGCGAAAACCCTGATATTTTCTTTCTTTGCACACATTATGTGCCATTCCGCATGGTAAGATATTCTCCTAAGTTTTACCAAATGCCAGCCAAAAATTTCCGGCATTTCCTTCGAACGTAGGCTGATAAAAAATATCTCCTGGTAATATAAAATCGGTTATTCACCACTTACATCTGTCGAACTTCCTGTACATAGCCTCATGACTCTTAACGAAGCAATACAAGGATAAGAATGTCTAGTATCAAGGTTAGGTCCAAATCTCTAATGCTGAACAACAAATGATTGTCCACCTTCAGCATACTGTTCCTGAAAGACAGGCTCCACACCATCGCATGGTATCTTGACCCACGAATAATTATCCAGTCACTAATGAAACAGAAGTTACAATAATAGTAATGCGATGTTTCAGAAAGTGAATTATGCCAACGCGTGCGGATTTTATCGGCGAAATCTGAGTGATATTACTTTCAATGAAGCTGAGAAGGTATAAAAATGAGTCCCCATGCCGTAAGTGGTCTCCTAGAGTATGCAGTTATTTGGATATTACTAGTCACATACCATTTGCAGTCACCCTCTTATGCCACACATTTAACCACCGACAGTCGTTCGAAAACATTATCTGCATTCCAAAAACAATTTTAATGTGCACTAAAATGCTGATGACATCAACTTCTCTGGAATGGTTCATCAACGAACAAATTTACGACACGTTTCCATAGTTATTGCGGCATGGATAACATAGGACGTGGCACAATCGAGATTCATATTACTACTGGGACGAAAGATACCTGAGAATCAAGGAGGAAACATGCTTAAAAGTTTAACATAATATACTTTGAAAAAATCACCTCTCAATACATATTAGCAACCAAATCTTGTCAAAATATTAGCACTAGAACCAAATGCCTGTGTAGCTAACATGCCAGGCATTTCCTGCATAAACACATAACTTTTGTATAAACAGGAAAAATTGCTCATATCGCGTCCAAATGACCAACAGTTTATCTTACTTTTATGCCACAGTAAAGCAAGTCTGTCCAGCTTATAAGTCAGAAAAATCAGAAACTATTCCTTTTTAGAATTCGCACAGCTACTTTGCATTTCATGACATCAGCTGATTGGAAAACAAACCGTAGCCTACTTCTTCCTACGCCCAGCAATTAACAAGGCATGACTTTATTCAGACAGAGCGCGTGTTAAGGTTGCACGTTGGACCTGAAACCGTCGTAGCAAGACCTAGAAGTGGATGCAATGAAATCGGTTAGTCTATACAATCTCACAGTTCAGATATTACTTGCACGAGTATTTTTATCGTGTTTAACTTCTTCATTTAATTTTGTTGGTATTTTGAACGCCCAACGTATCCTAGCAACAAGGCCATTAAAGTCACTCAGCTATTGCGTCAACCGCAGCTATGGTCAAGATTGTCGTGAAAAAGGGAGACCAGGCCTATTTCATGATTGATCGCCCATCATATACTCCGATCACAGAATTGTTAGCTGATATTTGTGAGATATACAATAGTATCCTCAAAATTCATCGAATATGTGGTGAAATGGAAGAGCTGTCGAAACATGGTGTTACACTTCCACCAAATATGCAAGTACTTGTGTGGATAATTCCCATGTTGTTTAGGGTCTCACAGATGAACAAATTTCTGAGTTAGGGCTTGTGGATGACTGGGGTAAGAAGTGCGTTCCAAGCGGTGGATATATTGAGTGTAAGGATGAAATCGGCAGGAGAAATGGCATGGGTAGGTTCCCGCTTTTATATAAGGCGTCATTTGTTGACAGCACCAACAGAAAAAATGTCACAAGTGCTGAAAAGGACAATGGATGAATCAAGACAGCTGATTTGCCGAGATCTGGTTAAACGGGAAATTTGTATTGAGAAAACCGTTGTTCGAGAGGCACTGATGATGTTAAGGGGTGCAGTAACTATTGTATATCCTATGGGCCTTCCCCCGTACGACCCCATTAGATTGGAGTTTGACAATGAAGAGGATTTATCTGGGACACATGTAAGTATCGACTCACTTTTCTGCATTTCAATACATTGAGCAACTTGTATGAATACGAAGAGATCATCAGTGCATGACACTTCAGTAGAGATGTCAATCTGTTTATAACCCACTGTAGAAAGAACTCACTTGTGTGTATCAGCCCTGTTTCTCGAGGTTTTCCCTAGTGCTGTAGAGGCGAAACACAGATTGTTATCTCGTTTTAGGGAGAAAGAGGGTGGTCAAACCGATCACGGTTTTCAGCCGTAGTAAAGGTTAAAAGTAAGAAAGTCCATTGCTCAAGGATCTCAAAAGCGAATATTCCCAGTCGACTGCTGCTACATAGTTTTTTTTTTATGTACTCTGCAACACTCAGATTAATATATCCGTGTAAACGTCTTTTACTCATTGTGGTGGTGCTGATAGTGGTCTTTACTTTGCACCGTAAAGATGAATAATGTCAATATGGGTCCAAGACTGTGAGTGATACTCTTGTACTTATTCTCTGTTTGGGGCATTAGGATCAACAGGAAGCTTCAATTTATTATGGTTTCGGTACATGATTTAAATTCCTATTGCTCCCACGTTCGATTTATTCATAATTCAACTAATCGCATGGTATGCTGTTAAACGTATGCCCTTTTTTACTTCTAAGAAATGTGGAATGAACGAAATAGATAGAATCTTGCTACTTTTTAGAGATGTGACTTAAAATGGGGCAAAGGAGATGGTAAAGGTATCAGCGTCGGGTAACACTCGGCACCTATTTAGGCTTATTAAAGATACCAGCAAGAAGACGATGGTTAGTGAAATCATCACTGAAAAGAATGAGGTGCTGATAACATCTCAGGGAAGATGACCAGAACAGTTCAACCTTCCCTCAGCAACGCTTCAGTTGCCCAACATCCAGCCTGAACGGGACGTAGATGTCAGTCTTCCAACTTTCCTTGAAGTTGGGAAGGCTGCATCGAAGTTAAAACGATAGGAAGCACCAAGATCTGACAGTTTTGCCACGCGACGTTTTCGAGGATACAGCTAAGAGATTGCTGACTAACGTGACGCAGGTACACTAGGTAGTGTATGGTGATTTAGACATAGTGCCGCCAGACTGGTGTACTTCAATGATCATTCCAGTCTGTAAGAAGGGAGAGGGATCTTGTGACAACCATAGGGAAATTAGTTTGACTAGTATTGTGTCCGCCGCCTAACTGGAGCTCGAGAACAGAAAACTATAAAACCGGACAGGTTTCAGGCCTGGACGACGGTGCATTGACCATATTTTCGCCCTCCGACGGGTTCTGGAATACACACGCCTGCCGACTAATGGCCAACACTTGCCATATTTCCTAACCTGAAAGCGGCATTTGACTCTGTCGATTGTGAGGTGTAACAGTGTCCGGCTACAAAAGTAGTACCAAGCGACCATGTCACGCTAATCAAAGCTCTCTACTCGAACTCATTCAGCCGCATCAGGGCTTATGAAGAGTTGTGATGTGAATTAATGACAACCAATCGTGTCCGCTAATGGTTCCTTTATCACCATTCTTGTCTAATTTCGTCATAGATCTGCTAGTAGACATAATCTTAGGTAAGTCTGACTTCACATGGACTGATCTACTCCCTGGAGGTGGTCTGATTGACCTGGAATTTACAGACTATTGTTCTGCTGGGTAAAAATGCTGACAAAATGCAAACAGGGTCTTGTGAACGCGTTGAGCATAAATTTGAGTATGTTTGGCATGCGTTTCGCAGGCACCTGTCAAATGTAAGATGATACTTCAGGATTGGTCTGCTGCAAATACTCCCATTTCAATGATAGGGAGTGAAGTGGTGGGATATGTCAACCACTTCGCTTACTTGGGGAGTTGCATCGACCTGAACGGGCTAGTTGCTGGAAAAATCTCACCTCCGATACTGAAAGCTCGTTCGCTATTTGACAACTGGCGTCACGTGTGATGTAAACGAGATATCCGACTATCTGATGCGCTACAGTCCGTTTTGTCCTGTCTTACGGCCATGAGACGTGCCTGTAAACAGTTGAAGATATGCAGCGACTACAAGGTCGATTGATGAGGTTGTGAACTTTAGTCGACTGAGATACCTTGGGGATGTGCTGGGCATGATAAGCCACAGCCTACCTCAACGTTACATTTTAGGAGAAGCTGGGTTCGAAGAGGGTTCAGGGTGGCCAGATCAAGATGCGGCAGCAATCAATAAAGTCCCTAACTGTTGGCCTGAGCCGTTTAGGGAGATGTAGACTGTCTGGTTGGGGTACGCAGACGGTAGGAATCACTAGTTGAAGACTCCTGGTGACATGGCTGGAAATCGGTGACACCGATGCAGGTGTATTCACTTCTAGACGTCTTCTGAAGCTTGAATATTTGCACTAACCGTCATCTTCAGATTGAATATTCTCATACTGCTTTCTCTACTTTGTTATCACTCTTACTCTACCCGCTTTTTGTTTATATAATGCTGTTAAGTGTGGCAACTTGAGGTGGCACACTAAACATGAGCATCAAAAGTAGAATATATGAGAAGGCTTCAGATGTTCGACCACCGCTACCTTGGTAGCGTAGGCTGTGTTTCGTGATGTCACCATGTGAGTAACTCGAGAAGTCAGGCGTATAGTTTTAAGAGGGAGAGGAAAGTCAGTTGATGCGGTTATGAACCTTCATGGACTGAGATGGCTGGGACAGGTGTTACGTATGCTTAGCCACCATCTGCCTCGTCACATAATGGAAAAAGGCTCGAGGCGGCCAGACTAAAACATAGGATCAACGTATGAAGTCCTTGACTGTTCGTCTGAGCCATATAGGTCGATGCAGTCTGAGCGGTTGGTGTCCACCGGAGAAATGAAACCAGTGGCTAGAGACTCTGGGTGATATGACTGAGAATCGATGTCAGTTGCGCAGATGTATACACACATTATCCTCGTCCGAGCGCTATACCGAATCTCACCATCTTCTCATCCTTCCTTCCTTTCTGTTACTACTTTCTACTTCTTTTGACCGATTTTTCTCCTTCTCTTCACTTTTCATTTTATTGTCTTGTTACTCAATGTGCTGGTATGAAGTGTAAGAACTTGGACCGTTACGCAATAATGCTTAGTTATATGTTGACTATGATAATAGCTAACAAAGAGGATTTTAAAACTTTCTTTTTTTATTTACCATTTTTGAAGGCTTCTCAAGATGTAGTCATGTTGGAAGATGCAAGTTTGTGGTTTTCTGGTAAAGAAATGCATCGTGAGAAAATTCTTTCTGATTATATAGGATGCAATGATAAAACTAAGATAATTACTAAATTGTCAAAACGTGGATCAGGTGCACCAGCCCGTGAACCTGTTGTCAGTGAAGAACAACAACGTGCAATGATGGCTTATTATTTTAAAAAGCAAGAAGAATGGAAAAAGTTGGAACAAGATGATGAAGACTGTTATTTAAATTCGTCTTGGGCTGAGCCTAATCAATTGAAACGACAATTCCACGGACTAACTAATATTAAATGGGGTCCAAAATAAAATACGAAAGTTGTGTGCATGTTACTTGTAATAATTAATATTGCAGTAGCTGTAAATTAATTGACAACGTTATTAGTTGTACATATATACAAATACATTCTTGGTTCTGTAAGATAACTATATCTTGTAGTCTGCTCTTTAATAAGTGTTGATTAATTATTTGTTACCGGTTTTTAACGCAGTATAATTTTATCTCACTTCTTCGAAAAACAATTTCGAAGCATATTTCAAATAACCTACATTTGATAAGATAGAGAGTGTTGTAGCATTATAGTCCTGACGATTCATGAAGACAATACCCAAGGCTTTTAATTATTATGAACTAACAGCAAGTCTTTATTTTGCAAAATTTAACGCAGTTTACAATGTGGTTTCATATTAAGATAATGATGACAATAATTAAAAGCAGTTGATTTGAACTGTTCAGATCTTTTGTTTGAAACTGTTAGTAGATCATTTGTTTAGTTGATCAGACTTTCAAACTGGTCTTTTATGTCTAAATCATTAGCAGTTACTGAATCATCACGAAATTTTGGACCCAGAGATCAAACAAGCATTTGACATTATGGGAGTCAAAAATAGCCTGGGGTAAGGTATTTATTCTTAGTGTATGTCAGATGAATGCAATGTGAATATGACAACTTCAGTACCATAAGGTAATGTGAGGAGGACCATTTAAATGGTTTTGATACATATTCCTTCCATTATTGACATAGAACTAAGCGTTACTGTCTAAGTGGCTACACTTTATGTCACCATATCAAGCGAGAAACCACTTAGATGAAGTTAGTATGTGTATACATCGCCACCGAGATCGATCCTGAGTCACGTCACATAGTCTCCAACCAACGGTTTCTGTTGTCACACATACCGCAACCGAGAAGTGTACATTCCTCCACATGGCGTAGATCAACAATCAAAGACTTCATTCAGTGGTGCCATATCTTGGCCTGACCACCTCTAACTTTTTTCCAGAGTAAACGTACCTCAGCTAACCTTTTACTATAAGGAAGACAGCGACTAGGTATACTTAACGCATGTCCCAGCCACTTGAGCCAATGATGGTTCAAAACCTCATCAACTGACTTTCCTCCCTAGAACTCTATACCTGACTTCTGGGTTACTCAAGTGGTGACACCACGAAACGGCGTATATTACGAAGGCAGCGGTGGTCAAACATCTGATATCTTCTACCTTCAATGGCCATATTTTATATCCATATGGTAGAGCAAAGTTAACTGCAGCTCGATACACTCGATCCTTAATAGACAATCGGATATCAGAAAAGCGTCATATGTAGCGAAAGCCACTCAGGGCTTTTATGCCTATGGAGAGATTTCTTCGGCCACTGACCTTGTAGATCTGGTTTGACTCTACCGGCAAGTGGAGCGGTCAACGCATTTCACTACTTCACTCCTTATTGTTAGTCGGGTACTGCTAAAGACCACTCCTGCAGTAATAATTTGCATTATAGCGGTGGCGGAAGCATCCCAGACATTCTCAAATTGCCACTCAAGGTGTCCATAGGACTCTGTATCCTGTCAGCATCTTCACCCGATACGACTATATGATCTGCGTACTCTAAGTCTACTAAGAATTCTTCTATGATAATATTAATCCCTATAAATTCAGACGATGAGAAGACCTTCAGAAGTACTTCTACAATATAGTTGAATAAGAATGGAGAGAGTGAACATCTCTGAAGGGCACCACTTGACGTACACCGCATAGGTTATGACACGCCCATGTGTCCTCGAGTGCCGAGCCTTCAATAGACTGATCTACTTACTCAGCACCGTTTTCAAATCAGTACTGATATGAAGTAACTTGGTTGACGGAGTAAAATCCCGCCTTCAGATCGAAAAATGCAGCTACTGTTGGATTTTGGTAAGCGTACCTATGTTCCAGAACCTGACAGAGTGTGACTATGTGATCGACATACCCAAGACGAGACCTGAAGCCTATCTGGTTTCCTTGCATTTTATGTTCGCAAACTCCACTCAGAAGTCTAATGATTATACAACGTGGAATATCAAACTTTGTGTTTGCCAGACTGATTCTCCTTTTTTCATCACAAGAGACTGGGACAACCAGTGAAGCCAGTCAGAGAGGATCATATCCAACTCACATACACTAGTTAACACTTAAGTTAATTCGACCAGTACTCCTCTTCTGGTACTTTCTCGACTTCTGTGGGTGTTGCGGTTTTATCTCGATATTCCATTTAGGCTCTGATTGGTCAACGAACAGCTGGAGGCCAGTTGAACTGTTTTTTTTGGAGTCGTTTCCTCTGCGAGTAAATCACAGGCCCATTTTTTGTCGTAGTCTCATTAACCAGCCTGTGACGTTTTAGCCACAGTTTCCTTGACGAGTTTAAATAACTGTCTACTGTCCTGTTGCAGCTACATTTCCCGTTTCTTTAATCTTTACTGCTCATGGTCATTGGGTAGACTTTTTTTAGTGCACATCTGAATTGTTTGTGCGCCTCACTGGGCACGAAGCCTGAAGTGATGTGTTCGCGTGCATCCATTAGCTCAGAAGCTGCTGAAATCCGCTGGCCCCTTCTAACCACTCTATGAGAGTTGGTTACGGTCTTCCGCGCTGTCTGAACAGCAGAGTGGAGATGGCGCCCAACTTCTGGAGGAGTGATGCTGATCTGTTCCGACAACCGTCTAGTCAGTTTCTTACTGAAAGCAACCTTAGTGCTCTCATTGTCGAGCTGCACTTACAACAGTCTTGTTGCTGTAGTTACCCCACGTCCTTTAGAGTGCAGACACAGGTGCTCGAACCAACTCGTGGTCACTTACCAAACACATGCTCCAGAAACAGCAGCGATTTCCCACCCTTTCTAGTCATAATTGATAACAATATGGTTTATCCTGTGTCCCGGCCTAATTGAAGTCTGTCGATGTCATATCAGACAATATCTCTTTATGTTTGAAGTTTGTGCTGACCAGAAATAAATGGCTACCGAAGCATAGTTGTAGCAGGTAATTATGGTTATCTCTTCAACTGGCTGGCTGGGATTCTGAAAACGTCACCTAAATGCCTTTCTGTCTGTCCTAGCCTACCCACTTGTGCATTGAAATCATCTGTGACAGCAACTGCTTCTGAACGTTTGACTTTCAATGGGAGACTAGACAGTTTCCGGTAGAACTCATTCTTCACTTCTTCCGAACTGCAGTCAGTGTGTGCGTAAGCCGAGACTACATAGAGACAACGGCGAGTTTCACTATTCTTTTTAGTCTTCACTGTACCATTCGACCGAATAGCACATAGGCGATTGTCTACTGGGATCCAGTCGAGCATTCCACTTTCCGCCTTAGCACATAGTGCTATGCCTACATTTCCAAGATTGCAAGAATTAGTCATCTAATCTGCAGAAACTTGGAGTTCGAAACCATCACAAATCCATTGCCAGAGATGCTAAAGTTTCGGCTGGCAAGGCTTGTTGGCTGACTTAACAGAGGGTGGGAATATTGAAGGCTCCAATTCGTAGCTTGGACCGTGGTTTCAGAAGACCAGTGATGCTATTCCTTGAACTCGGATCTTTATCAAGAGCTTTAGAGCTGGGAGAAATTCAAAATAATGTAGGATTATTGATCAAGAGACGTGAAGGAAGATTAGATGTGGAAGGGGAACGGTGATCTGAAAGAGCTTGAGTTCTTACAGGGTTACGAGCGCGGTAGACGCTTCCCAGCTGCTCACACTGGGGAAGGATTACTGTGTAACCAAAAGTCCACAAGATATCTGCTTGGGGCCGGCCACACACGGCCGTTTTAGAAATTTAACAGTTAAGTGTGTTTAGTTCAAGTTCGAATATGAATCCACATCGGTGACAGCTTATACCATGACATAGAGAGAAGTGTGCTGTTTTTAGGGCACCGCTCAACAGTGCAACCTCTTCCTCGAACCAGCATCACGGTAAAATGTGCACTACATTAGTAACTGATTTCCGTCTAACCACTATCTAATATATATATTTGGTTTGCTGGACCTCAAAACAAGAAGCGTTCCACCAGCATACTTCATTGGGTCATTGTTATGTATCAGCACGATCACCATATCAATGTAGCAGCTATCTATTGGGTACCCACCCTGCACCCGTCTACTTATAGACAGTATCAAAGACGTAATAATCAAATTTCATATATCATAATGTACATAAATGACGTGCCAATTTCAGGTCTATGACAGCTTTGTCAATTCAGAGCTATATGCACCAGAATACAGATTGTTTAGTATGAATATGACAAGATTCTTAGAATACTGCAGTTATTTATGATTTTATTACTTATTATTTGTTCTTTGGTTTCCTAGTCGAACATAGGGTTTCAGAAGCACGTGGCCATTTCACTCCCTTCTCTGCAGTCTTTTTAACCTGGCTCCACGACAGCCCAGAAGCTCTCATTTCTTACTCACACAACCTCCTTCATGCCACCCTCACCTCGGACACCCAACTCTTCGTTTCTTCTCTGGGTTCCACTCGAGGTCCTGACCTGGCCTGGCGTGTGATATCACCGAATGGTCTTCTCAGTGCATGGCCCATCCAATCTATCTCCACTTTTTTGTCTGCATATTTGTTGAGCGATAGGTTGTTGGTTGGTTCGTTGTCGGGCCAGAGTGAGTTCTTTGTTGCTTATTCTTATCATTCTGGCCATCTGATCTTCAGTGTCAGCATCAAGTGAGTGTAGGTGGCAGCTGTTGATGTATGTGTGGAGTTTGTTGTAAATGCTTTTCGTAACGCGTCAACTCTCTCAACCACCACATAAAATTACTGGCCTGATGTTGAAAATCCAGATATTGTTCACGCTTTATACTGAGTGGAGTGCAGTGCATCAGATCTCCACACTGATTTCATATTAATGCTGGAAGGCCTGTCTTACTGTTTTCCGATCCTGGCTGTGACATCCTCATCTGTGGCTCATGTAGTTGAAACGAACTGTCTAGGCTAGGTAGGTGGGTAGGTGAAAGAGACAACTTCCTGCTTTAGATTTCTC